TCATTACACATCACGTCTTGTTACTGATACCAAGCCATCAAGGGTGGTGAACCACTGATCCATTCGCAAGCATTTTTGTCCGTTGGCAAGGTTAGGGACACTCACACAGCACTTTGACATACATAATTACATTGTGCAAGTTCATTTACACAGTAATTATTATTCAGCATGTCCTCACCTGGGATTTGAACTCACAACCTCTGTTGACGGCATTCATATCGTCCTGCTATACCACCATGTCTGTGTCAGTTATCAGTTAAGTTTGACTATTCTCTCATTTATTTGATTGACTTATTTCAACAATTTAAGTGCTTTCTGTATAGTTGTCTAATGTTGCTGGGGCATATTAACCTGTTTTAATGTTACTCCTGAATCACAATGATCAATACAAGTTTTTCTTGACTTTAACCTTTTCAGACGCGAGTTCCAAATATCTCTAACGGTCGTCCCAGCGTGAGTTTTTTTATGTTCGGAATGGCAGAATGTACTCACTGTTCCAAAATGTGATTGTTACGCAACAGGACAGTTAACCCGTGCTGCCCTCAAACCAAGGCACACTGCCTGCTAATGATCTATAGGCTAAGTTTCAACTTGTAAATTTCAACAATTTGAATTGAGGTGTGTTCCGCCTCCTCATTAATTCACATAAGTAGCCCATTTCACTGTTGCGGACAATTTATGCTTGAGGCTTTACTGAACAGCACAAACTTCTCTCTTTGACGAGAGCTCAAGCACTTCCCCAGATCAAGTATAAAGACATTGGGCATCTCTAGTCAGAACAGGCCTTGCACAAACACTTTCCCCCTGGCACATTTTGTGGCTGGCACCCGCATTGCCTTCATTATTGTTTTCCTCATAAATAATAACTTGGACATGTGTGCGTTCCTATCAAAGTAAGTGTGGTCATTTCTACCTGCATATGTAGTATGTATGGAGCATAATGTATCTATTGTTCTATTCACATGTTTTCAAGTACTGGTGACAAATCATATATTCCGTTTCTTGCATAGATTGAAATGGACACATATGATTTGTGTAAAATACTTTTTTGAAGGTTGTATTGATTATGATGAGCTAACGCAAAGATATTTGCCAGCTATGTGTGGCGCCATGTTTGTTGACATCATACAATGCATTCTGATTGTCACATAAGCGTCTGTCAGACCAAAGATATCAAAAAACGAGGTGAAAGGATAGTTCACGCGACTGACTTATGGTGCTTTCAAGACAACTGCGCACTCTGAAAAATACGAGGTCAAATCATGACGTCAGTGATCTTCAGGTCGAAAGCCGGAGCTCTAGAAAGAGGCCAGCATTCCCGAGTTGGAATTCCGAGTTGGATGACTGTTCAAAAATATTTTTCCCAGTCGGAGCTAGTTTTTTTTATGAATTCCCAGTTGTCTTGAACGGACTGAAGTCGGAGATTTCCGAGTTCCCAGTTATTTTGAACGCGGCATCAAATTGTAACTATGGTACCTCAGGATTGCCAGTTTAGATCCCCCTTTCCAGGGGTTTTATTTTTATTTAGCGTATAAACTTCTCGTGTTTGCCCCCCATTTATTGCTAAATCCCCCATTATATTATTCCTGCATCATATCCCCCCACAATATATTCCCCCACTTCTTCCCCCTATGGACTTGAAAACCTCCCACAAATGAAATGAACCCAACCCCCCTCACACAAACCCCCCTAAAAGGGTTTCACCCCTGTTTAGCTTTCGCTCTACGGTTAGGCTAGGCAGTACATTTCTCCCTTGTGCTCGCCAGAGATGTGATACATTGTAAACAAGTCTAGCTGTTAGGTCGCTAACTTATGTTTAGTTTTTTGTCAGCGCAACCTGTTATTTAGACTGGTTTTTGGAATGAGTTTGGCTGTGGATGTGTTACGTGTGATGTTTGGATGATAAAGTTTCGCATTTATCTTTTACAAAAAAAGGTGAAATTGAGGAATAAAGTTGTGAAGATCTTTATTTCCCTTCAGTACAAAACATTGTTTAGATGCTTTTCAGACAACAATGCTGCTTAGACGCGTTTGTTGCAGCATACGTTCTGTTGCTACTGTTCCAATCACATATTTGTGATGGTACGCTGCAGAGACCATTAACAATGATCACAAATATGTGATCGTACGCGTCAAAGGTTTAACAGAGTAGAAATGTACTTCAAAGTGCATTCACATGATTGCTTACACCTATCAAGTGGTCTCAGATCTACCTAGGGAGGAGGGGTTAGGGTTTCTTCTGGACAGGGCCTAACTATACTGGCCCAATTAGAACGTACCCTAGAGATATCCCTTATTGGGACAGTGTTTAGGGTGTTCGTCACTGGTGTTGGTGGCCTCGGTTTGAGACCTGCTAGGGGAGTCTCCCTACTCTCCCATTCTTAGCAATATATGTTGATGTCATTACTTAGCAACAGTTACAACACACCTATCTAATTAAAATGTGTTTGTCATTGAAAGGTGGGAATCGGTAGAATTCTAGATAACTGAGCATCTCAAAGAGAACTGTGTTTTTGAAATTCACACCACATGTAGAACAAACGTGTCTCTGATTAGGAATCACATCAGCTCTTGTCATTTTATTTATATCTGTAACGTTCCTAATTTGTTGCCGAAACATGGCCCTGGTGGTAGTGTTATTTCTGATACCCAGAACATGGTTACCATATTCTCAGAATATCAGAAATGTGTATATTTACAGTAGCATGTCTGTACATTCTCACATTTGTTATTTAAGCAATGATGATGCCAGTTATACCCAAACAATACACAAAACAGAGTTCCGTCTCCAAATTGTAATGTGTAAAAACAAACAAATTGTAACAGACTCACAATATGTTAAAGGGGCAATCTGCAGTTGCTACATCCATTTTAGAACTTTTAAATGAATGATATACACTGAGTATACCAAACATTAGGAACCACTTCCTAATATTGAGTTGCAACCCCCGTCCCCCCCTTTCCCCTCAGAACAGCCTTAATTCGTCGGGGAATGGACTCTGCACACTCTACAAGGTGTCGAAAGCATTCCACAGGGATTTACATTTACATTTACGTCATTTAGCAGACGCTCTTATCCAGAGCGACTTACAAATTGGTGCATTCACCTTATAGCCAGTGGGATAACCAATTTACAATGTGTTTTTTAAAAATTTTATATTACATTTTTGTTAATACATTTTTGTATATTTATTATTATTTTATTTCTGTTATTTTATTATTTAGAAGAAAAAAAAATATTTTTTTTGGGGGGGGTGGGGGGGGGGGTTGGGGTAAGGGAGGGGTAGAAGGATTACTTTATCCTATCCCAGGTATTCCTTAAAGAGGTGGGGTTTCAAATGTCTCCTGAAGGTGGTGAGTGACTCCGCTGTCCTGGGTCGTGAGGGAGCTTGTTCCACCATTGGGGTGCCAGAGCAGCGAACAGTTTTGACTGGGCTGAGCGGGAACTATGGGAGCTCTTCGCACTCTGGGAGGAGGACACAACGGAGTTGTCAACCGTGATGGCGAGATCATGGAACAGGCAGTCCTTCCCCAGGAGGAAGAGCAGCTCCGTCTTGCCAAGGTTCAGCTTGAGGTGGTGATCCGTCATCCATACTGATATGTCTGCCAGTTGGCCCATGTTGATTCAAATGCTTCCCACAGTTGTGTCAAGTAAGCTGGATGTTCTTTGGGTGGTGGACTATTCTTGATACACACGGGAAACTGTTGAGCGTGAACACACATACACAATCCATGTCTCAATTGTCTCAAGGCTTAAAAATCCTTCTTTAACCTGTCTCCTCCCCTTCATCTACACTGATTGGGAAGTGGATTTAAGAAGTGACATCAATAAGGGATCATAGCTTTCACCTGGATTCACCTGGTCATTCTATGTCATGGAAAGAGCAGGTATACTTAATGTTTTGTATACTCAGTGTACATGGTTTGTGGTGTGGATTTCAAGAAGGAGAAGCAAATATAATTAATAAAGACTAACAACATATGAGAGGTAGTGGAAATGTGGTCATAATTCATGCTCAAGGGGTAATCCTACAGATTTGTATTTAACAATGAGAAACTCATTTGAATTAGAACAGATAAGTGTATCTGGAGCCAAATGATGACATTAACATATATTCCTAAGAATGTGATAGTAGGGTCACTCCACTAGCGGGTCTCAAACGCAGGCCACCAACACCAATGACGAACGCCCTAACTACTTTTCCAATAAGGGATATCTCTAGGGCATGTGCTTATTGGGCCAATATTATTAGGCCCTGTCCAGAAGAAAACCTAAGCCCTCCTCCCTAGGCACTTGTGTAGATCTGAAACAACTTGATAGGTCTAAGCAAAAGGGTGAATGCACTTTAAAGAAAATCTCAGCTCTGTTAAAAGTACACTCAAGAAAATATTTTATTGATCATAGTGATTTAGGAGTATAATAAAAAAAAGGTTAATATGCCCCACCAACATTCGACAACTATAGAGAAAGCCCTTAAATTGCTGAAATAAGTTAATAAAATCAATGATGAGAGAATAGTCAGATTAAATTATACCTGACACAGACATGGTGGCGAAGCAGGAAAATCAGAGTCCGTGAACCAAAAGGTTGTGAGTTCAAATCCCAGGTGAGGACATGTTGAATAATAATTACTGATTAATAGAACATGCACAATGTAATCACGTATGTCAAATACGTAAGTTGAAAACACTATCTTAAAATCACTGTGTGTGAGTATTCCTAACCTTGCCAACAGACAAACAGCTATGAATGGATAAGTGGTTCACCAATCAGGGCCTTGATTAGCTCGGCAACAGTAACAAGTTGTGATGTATAATGATTTGTTTTTTGACATGTTTTTGCAACATTCCTATGAAACGTGTCTGGAACATTAATATCTTATGTTCTGAGTACATGGCAACCATGTTTTGTGTATGTCTGGTGGACTGTTGATGGAATATTCGCCTAACCCACAGAAAACTGGACATATGAATGTTCTTGCAAATCAGGACAGGTCGTTTCACTGAGCAGCCATTACGAACACAGGCAGTAAAACAGTGATCACTAAGGCTTTACAGAAAACTCCAGACTGATACCTATCAGGATTATTTGTGAGGATAACATCAAGGAGAGTAGCCTTTTCTGGGTGTTTGGAGTCATACTTTGTGGGATTGGTGATAATCTGAGAGAGATTTAGGGAGTCCCATTGCTTTAGGACTTGGACAGGTAGCTTAAGCATGTCACAGTTTAGGTCACCTAGCAGGACAAATTCAGACTTAGTGTAAGGTGCCAGGAGAGAGCTTTGGGCAGGTAGGGTACAGGCCGGTGCTGATGGTGGACGATAACACCCAGCAACAGTCAACAAATAACTATTTGAAAGTTTAATGCTTAAAACCAGCAAATCAAATTGTTTGGGGACAGACTTGGTGGAGAAAACCGAGCACTGAAGGTGTTCCTGGGTAAAGATTGACACTCCACCACCTTTGGAAGATCTGTCTTGCCTAAAAAGATTATAACCAGAAAGGTTAACATCAGTGTTCAAAACACGCTTTCTTAACCACGTCTCAGTAATACCAACACATCTGGATTGGAGCTGTGAACCCACACTTACAATGGATCAATCTTAGGTAATAAGCTTCTAGTGTTAACGTGCAGAAAACCCAGGCATTTACGAGAGCAGAAACAGATATCAGAGCACAAGTCAGAATTTGGGCTAGCAACAGTAGATGGGCCAGGGTGTACATGCACATTTCCAGATATCATCAGCAGTAATACAATCAGGGCACTGCAGAGGACAGGGAGAGCTCTGCAGTGTTTATTTGTTATGACATTTGAATGTGCATCAGATGGCAACAAGATCATATTGTACAGCAATTTCATTTGGTAACATGAATAAAAAGCCGGCGAAAGGTGGTTAGAATAGGATGGGAGGTCAAGAGTCCGTGTAACCAACAGAGAGTCAGAGTCCCGAGTGTGGGAACAAACAGGCTGTCCCATGGTTGGGTAAACAAGCAAGTTCATAGTCATTCATTTTAATAGTTTGTGTTGAAAATCAATTGTTTCAACAATACAACATATACAGTTGAAGCCGGAAGTTTACATACACCTTAGCCAAATACATTTAAACTCAGTTTTTCACAATTCCTGAAATGTAATCCTAGTAAAAATTCCCTGTCTTAGGTCAGTTAGGATCACGACTTTATTTTAAGAATGTGAAATGTCAGAGTAATAGTAGAGAGAATGATTTATTTCAGCTTTTTATTATTTTCATCATTTTCCCAGTGGGTCAGAAGTTTACATACACTCAATTAGTACTTGGTAGCATTGCCTTTAAATTGTTTAACTTGGGTCAAACATTTCAGGTAGCCTTCCACAAGCTTCCCACAATAAGTTGGGTGAATTTTGGCCCATTCCTTCTGACAGAGCTGGTGTAACTGAGTCAGGTTTGTAGGCCTCCTTGCTCGCACACGCTTTTTCAGTTCTGCCCACAGATTTTCTATATGATTGAAGTCAGGGCTTTGTGATGGCCACTCCAATACCTTGACTTTGTTGTCCTTAAGCCATTTTGCCACAACTTTGGAAGTATGCTTGGGGTCATTGCCATTTGGAAGACCCATTTGCGACCAAGATTTAACTTCCTGACTGATGGCTTGAGATGTTGCTTCAATATATCCACATAAATTTCCTTCCTCATGATGCCATCTATATTGTGAAGTGCACCAGTCCCTCCTGCAGCAAAGCACCCCCACAGCATGATGCTGCCACCCCCGTGCTTCACTGTTGGGATGGTGTTCTTCCTCCAAACATAACGATGGTCAATATGGGCAAACAGTTCTATTTTTGTTTCATCAGACCAGAGGACATTTCTCTAAAAGTATGATCTTTGTCCCCATGTGCAGTTGCAAACCGTTGTCTGTCTTTTTATGGCGGTTTTGGAGCAGTGGCTTTCAGGTTATGTCGATATAGGACTCGTTTTACTGTGGATATAGATAATTTTGTACCTGTTTCCTCCAGCATCTTCACAAGGTCCTTTGCTGTTGTTCTGGGATTGATTTGCACTTTTCACACCAAAATACGTTCATCTCTAGGAGACAGAACACGTCTCCTTCCTGAGCGGTATTACGGCTGCGTGGTCCCATGGTGTTTATACTTGCGTACTATTGTTTGTACAGATGAACGTGGTACCTTCAGGCGTTTGGAAATTGCTCCAAAGGATGAACCAGACTTGTGGAGGTCTACAATTTCTTTTTCTGAGGTCTTGGCTGATTTCTTTAGATTTTCCCATGATGTCAAGCAAAGAGGCAGAGTTTGAAGGTACCCCTTGAAATACATCCACTGGTACACCTCCAATTGACTCAAATGATGTCAATTAGCCTATCAGAAGCTTCTAAAGCCATGACATCATTTTCTGGAATTTCTCAAGCTGTTTAAAGGTACAGTGAACTTAGTGTATGTAAACCTCTGACCCACTGGAATTGTGATACAGTGAATTATAAGTGAAATAATCTGTCTGTAAACAATTGTTGGAAAAATTATTTGTGCCATGCACAAAGTATATGTTCTAACCGACTTGCCAAAACTATAGTTTGTGAACAAGAAAATGGTGGAGTGGTTGAAAAATTAGTTTTAATGACTCCAACCTAAGTGAATGTAAACTTCCGACTTCAACTGTATACAGTGCCTTGCAAAAGTATTCGTACTCCTCAGATTTCTTCACATTTTATTGTGTTACAAAGTGGGATTAAAATTGAATTAATTGTCATCTTTTGACAACACTCTACTTAAAATACTCTATAATGTCAAAGTCGAAGATTTTTTTTTTTTTTAAAGATGAATACAAATTAGATGACTAAAATATAGTCATTGCATTCGTATTCAGCCCCTTTTGTTCAGGCAAACCGAAATGAGTTCAGCAGTAAAATTTGGCTTAACGAATCACATAATACGTTACATGGACTCTGTGTGAAATAATAGGGGTTTAAATTACTTTTGAATGGCTAACCCTTCCTCTGTCCCCCATTCATACAACATCTGTAAGGTCCCTCAGTCAAGTATTGCATTTCAAGCACAGATTCAACTACAAAGACCAGGGAGATTTTTGAAAGCCTCATAAAGAAGGGCAGTGATTAGTAGATGGGTAACAATAATAAATCATACATTAAATATCTCTTTAAGCATAATCAAATTAATAAATTAGGCTGTGGATTATGTATTAAACCACTCAGACATATCAAAGACACAGTTGTCCTTCTGAGTTGAGCTGCAGGGCATGAATGAAACTGCTCAGGGATGTTACCATGAGGCCATTGGCGATTTTAAAACAGTTAGAGTTTTGTGATGGAGAAAATGGGGGATGCGAGGATGGATCAGCAACATTGTAGTGACTCCATAACAGTGGAGGATCCTCAGAGGAGGAAGGGGAGGACCATCCTCCTCAGTGAATTTCATAAAAATAAAAAACGATACTAAATATGTTCACATGTGACCAAATAATTGATTAAAACACACTGTTTTGCAATGAAGGTCTACAGTAGCCTTAACAGCACTCTGGTGTAGCCGGAGGACTTCTAGCTTCCATCCTCCTCTGGGTACAATGACTTCAATACAAAACCCATGGTTCTCACCCCCTTCCATAGACTTAGACAGCAATTATGACAACTTCCGGAGGACGTCCTCCAACATATCAGAGCTCTTGCACCATGAACTGACATGTTGTCCACCCAATCAAAGCATCAAAAAATTAATCTAGTAAAAGCATGAGCTACAGCTAGCTAGCATTGCACTCAAAGAGCGAGACACAATAGTTGAACAGTTTTGAACAAATTAATATCTTCAAAAATGATGGAGAAGCAAAAGAGAGAGACAGAAAGCTATATTTAGTATTTTTCACTTTCATTTTCACTTACTTAGCTAGCAAATGCAGCTAGTTAGTTTAGCCTGCTTAAATACCTGGCTCAAACAGAGGGATGCTATGTTAGCTAGCTGTCTAGGATGATCCAACACAACACTTGAACTCTTCCAAGTCAAGGTAAGCTTTTGGTTTTACTGATTTATTGCCACCGGGGCCCGCAAAGGGTCTGAATAATTATGTAAATAAGGTATTTCCATTGTTTTATTTAATCAATTTTAGAATAAGGCTGTCACGTACCCAAATGTGGATTAAGTCAAGGGGTCTGAATACTTTCTGAATGCACTGTATACAGAATATATATTTTTTCGTAACATGCATCTTTTATGCAACAAGGCACTAAAGTAATACTGCAAAAAACACTCCAAAGGAATACACTTTTTAACCTAAATGCAAAGTTTGGGGCAAATCCAAAAGATCACTGAGAAATCGTAAACCGTAAAGGAAATCACACCACAAACAATCACCCACATGCTCTTAAGGAAATTGTGAATGTCATGGATACATTAGAACTAGTACATATATGGAGGCTTAAATATACTGATCTAGTGAGATATACATGGCGGAGACTGAATCAAGCTAGTTGTCTTGACTTCTTTCTTATCTCATTCTCGTTGGCACCAAAAGTTTAAAAAGTGTTGATAGGGGACAGAATGCGGTCGGACCATCATATAATAGGCATATACATTACTCTTACTGAATTTCCACGTGGGCGAAGATATTGGACATTTAATCGAAGTCTATTGGATGATAATTTATTCATAATTAGAACAAAGGAATTTATAACTGACTTTTTCCAACATAACATAGGTACAGCGAATCCCCTTATTGTATGGGACACCTTTAAATGTGCCTTTAAAGGCCATGCAATTCAGTACTCATCTCGAAAACAAAGGCAATTTAGGTCAATAGAGTTTATACTAAGAAAGGAAATAGAATGTCTAACAGAACAGATAGATGGCAATTAAAAACTGTAACATAGAGGCTCAGAATAAATTAGAGGAAAAACAAAAAGAAATGGAGAAACTTATTCAAGAAAGATCAAGTGTAATATATTATAAAAATAAAGCAAACTGGATGGAATATGGGGAAAATGCACAAAATTATTTTTTAATCTTCAACATAGGAATGCTACCAAAAAGAACTTAATGAAACTGGTTACAATTGACGGAGTCACCCATAATTCACCAAATGATATTTTGAAGGAAGAAACAAAGTACTTTAAGCATATGTTTTCTTTTCAGTCGCCTCCATCTCCTCTAACTGAAGCTAATAGTAGAGATTTTTTTCTATTGATAATGTCAAATTAACAGCCACACAGAAAGACTCATGTGAAGGTGAAATTACAGAGGAGGAACTTCTGGATGCAATTAAAGACTTTAAGTCTGGGAAAACTCCAGGGTTGGATGGCATACCAGTCGAGGTATACCAAACCTTTTTTGATATAATAAGAGGACCGTTATTATCATGTTTTAACCACTCCTATGTAAATGGTAGATTATCTGACACTCAAGAAGAAGGTCTGATCTCATTATTACTGAAACAGGATACAAGTGGAAAATATAAAGATCCAGTCCATTTACAAAATTGGAGGCCCCTTACACTTCAGTGTTGTGATGCAAAAATCCTAGCAAAATGTATAGCGCATAGAATTAAAAAGGTATTGTCGGATATTATTCATTCTAATCAGACAGGTTTTTTACATGGAAGATACATTGGAGATAATATAAGGCAAGTATTGGAAACAATAGAACACTATGGAAAATATGGGAAACCAGGCCTGCTATTCATAGCAGACTTCGAAAAGGCATTTCAAATCAAATCAAATCAAATTTT